CCTGTGGGGTCAGGCCACGGCCTGGTCCCACAGGCCGGACTGGCAAATAGCCAAATAGGCCCTGGCTGTGGGCCAGGGCAGATGAAGGCCCGCTGCAGCCTTACACTTACAAAAAAAAACAGGACTAGAGGTCGCGCTGCACTACTCTTGACTCGTGAAAATTTGCAAGAGTGCGGCATGAGTTGTCAGAGTCCTAAAAACACCTAGAGTTATGTCGCCGTTGCATTTAGTCAAGACCAATGCATTCTTACTCGGCTCTTGATACACGTTCAGTGCTCTTTAAGCGGTACACAACAGCGACAACCTTGTTAGTCCGCCCAGACTCCAGACCCTAACATGAAAATTCTCACCATTTCAAGAGACCGTCGGACCACCCTGGCAAAAACGGTCGTTGGAGGCTGGCACGCAAGAGTGCTCAGTGCTCTAGGTGACGTCTACTCATGGCTTCCTGACAGCTCTTAAAAGGCGTTTTCATGAGCCACAATCACGAGAGAGTGCAGCCATGGCTACTCTTGACTTTTTCAAGAGTTACATCCTGACAGCTCTTGAAGCGTTTTCTGACCGCCCAACTCTAGAGTAAGCGCAGCGGTGTGGAGCTCTTGAAAATGCTCGTTTCAAGAGTAGTGCAACGAGGCCCTACGTCTGAGCCTGCAGACGCCTTTGGCTACAGGGGAGGGGCTCCACCTCACAGAGAAACAACTGGAGACCTCGCGGCCCCTTAATCTGGGATTATCCGATCCTTGCGGCCCCTGAATCTGGGATTTTCCAATCCTTGCAGCCCCTGAATCTGGATTTTTTTTATTTATTTTTGGGGTAACTTCGGCGCAGTCACGAAAACAGTTTGTAATTGCACTTCAGGCAATCCCGCGAATACAACACACCCCCACGCGACCCCACCGGACCCGAAACGTAGGTCGTATGCATTCAGCATTACCGGCCCTTTTGCCTCAAGTGCAATTACAAACTCAAACCCTGACTGCGCTGTAGTTTTCTCTTTAATTTTTTTTCTCAAAATCAATCATTCATCGTAAAAGCCGAAATTTCTGAAGCCGGGGTCCTCACAGTCTACCCGG